GCGGGCCCCCGGGGACAGCCGCTCCTGCGGGCGGAAGGCCAGGCCCCGCTGCCTGGCGGGGAGGGTGGAGGTCCCTCCAAATCTCTTCTCCATGGAACAGCAGAGCCACTTGCCGACTCTGATTCCACTGGACCTGGGTTCAAACTCAAGAGCCTCCCGCTTTTCTAAGCACAGCCCTGCTTCCACTCCAGGCTCGTCATTTCTTGGGACACAGGAGATCTGATTCACGTGCACAGCACCGCCACCCTCCGCAGCCCAGTCTCCTCCCCGCGAGTTTCAGGCTGTATTTATTCATCACCAGGTGAGTTCAATTCATGAAGCCAAAATTAAGATACACAGTATAACCATGGATTTTTATGCTGATTCGACATAACTAGAGGTCCATGGAGTTTATATAAAAGTTGGAGACTCCAGGACATCTCAGAGATTTTAAGGATTGGTGCGGCAACAGGATGGAATATTTGAAACTAAGAGAGTTTTGGAAAATTGTGGCTAGCATGGGAGAACACATATTTCACCCGTTTCTAAACTGTTCTTATTTTTCTTGCAGGTCTGCTTCCAGTGGAGATGGGGACTTCTGTGGGTAAAAAGGAAAGAAGCCCCTGACCATCAGAACTGCAGGTTCCTTCCCACCTGCCCTCTTTAGCAGCTTTGTCCCTCTGAGGCCTCCCACCTTGAAGTAAACCCCAGGTCAAAAACTTAGGACGCGTGGCCTTCAAATGTCAAGGGCTTTCCTAGTAACTCTCGGAGAGAGCTTTGGGACTCAGTCGAAGACTCAGCCCCCAGAAGCTCATCACGTTCTGAGAAAGCTCCCTAAACCGAGACCGACCGCTCTCCAGGCACGCTTTCCAAACGTAAACCCGGACACACGCTCAGTGCTGCCGACGGGGGCGATCCCTGGCACCGACGCCATCCCCGCACACAGGTAGCAGCATGGAGAGGCCACAGCTAGACGGACGCGTGGGTGGGGACCACGGCAAGCTGGGAACAACAGGGCCTCCCTAGGGAAGCGTGACTCGGCCAGAACCGGCAGCGTGCCGGGCGGCCAGGGAGAGAGGACAGGGAAGAAGCAGGCCTTTAAAGCCCAGTAAGCCCCACACGCCGCTGCCGCACGGGCCCCGGCCCTCCTGACGCGGAGGGAACGAGGCGACAGCGAGCCTCCTGGGCCGCTCGCGCCACACCCCGCAGGAGCAGCCTCTGTCTTGGGGCCACTCCGCCTGTGCGCCACGCCTCTGCCCCTGCCTGGGAGGAGGGGGCACTGCCGGGTCCACCCCCACTGCCAAGACAAAGTCTAAAGTGCAAACATACATTTATTTGGTGTCTGCCATATGAGGCACCGGGATCTCAAGGGTACAAGTTATTCTTGGCTTTCGAGATGCTCACAGTCTGCTGGGGAGACAGACACAAGACTGGGGTGAGCCCAGAGGAGCGCTCAGGCCCTCAGGGGTGTGAGGAGGAGTCTCAGCAGAGACGAGGCTCCGCGTGCTCTGAGGATGGGGAGGATGCCACTGTGCCTGGAGACGGCCACAAAGCACGGGCACAGATACTCAAACTGCAGACGGAGAGGGAGCGTGGGGCGCTCTGCAGGCCTCACTGCCTGACTGGCTGCAGACCTGCCCACCACGAGGAGCCGTGAGCTCCAGCTCGGCTGCTGGCACGGAGCGGCCGTCACGAACACGTGCTTCTCCAGATGCAGGGAGCACGGCTGCTGCGCGTCCCACGGCTGTTCCCAGGCACCGGCCAAGCACGGAGGGGACAGGACAGGGACTCCTCTGACAGGTAACTCTGGCTCCCCGGTGGCTTTGCTGAGAAGCCCTTGGCACTACACCGCGGCCCAGGCCTCCGACAACCACAACCCCCGTCTCCTCTGCAGGGATCCTACAGGGCTCCCTCCCACCTCCAGCTGCCGCCCATGGCCTCACGGTCCCCTGCAGGTGTTTCCCCAATGAACATCTTGCATTTCTAATCCAAGCATGGCTTGTTTCTCCAAGGTCCCAACCTAACACACATGGCATCACTCTTTCTCCTTTTTTCTTGTATCTCTGCCTTGGTAACACTCCACAACAGTCTATGATCTCCAGAATAGCAAACGGCCGATGGGAAGTTCTGCTTGCTAAACAGAAAACATCCATAAGGTCCCTGGCAGGTAGCAGACACCCAATAAAGACGCAGGATTAAATTGTCTCCACGCTAGAGAAGACCTGCGGTCACCTTTTAGTGCACAACCAACTACTAAGTACTACGTGTGGTAGGGATGCAAGGATATAGAACACGATCTTCACACCAGAACAAGCTCAGATATGCTGGAAGACACAGGCGGAAGCCAGCTCACATGTGGCTGAGATATAAAACGCTAGGAGAGTCAGTAAGAGGAAGAGCCCTTCCAGCCTGGGCAGGGAGGAGGGCCATCTGGCGGAGCTCTGTGTGTGAGCCTGCATTTGAATCTCCACCAAGGCAGACACAGGACCACAACCATCTGGGATGGGGGGAGTGTGCAGGGCGGGCAAAGGTGGTTTGAGCAAATGTAGGGAGACAGGCAGGCAAGGGTGGGAAGTGTGTCCAATGGGCTGACAGGGAGGCGGAAGGACCCAGATGGCAGGCTTTGTGAGCCAGGCCCAGAGGTCTACGGCTCCTGTGTCAGGGCGAAGCCCACTGATGGTTTGGGAGTAGCTTTCAGGGTTAATCATGCTGTGGGACAAAGTGAAAAACGAACAAGAGAAGGAGAGCCTGGAGGTGGTTCTGACAGAAAGTTAGTGCAACATAATGGGAAAGAGGCCATTTCTTCATTAAACAAACATCTGATGTCTACAGTGTTGGGTAAAGCAGCTTTGAAATTAGGGGATGGGGTTAACAGACAGAAACTACTACATGTAAAATAGATAGGCAACACGGATGTCCCTGGGAATTATACCCACTGTCTTGTAATAACCTCAAATGGAGAGTAATCTGCAAAAATACTGACTCACTATGCCGTACACCTGAACCTAACACAATACTGTAAGTCAACTATACTTCAGTAACAACAAACAAACAAACAAAACAAGCTCCGAAGTCAGCACGGGGCCAGTGGGAACTAAGAGGGCAGAGCACACCATTAAGGTAGAACCGAGAAGTTTTTGGCGTCTGCACAGCCCACCTCTTACTGTTTACGACGGTGGCAGAGAAGCACCTTCAGCAGAGACCACGTGTACACAGTCACACACAGATTCTCCTGCTGCCGCCCGGAGTCAGGCTGGGCGCTCAGAGATCAGAGCAGCGCCTCTGTACCCGAGACAGGGTCTTCTGCCAAAGGAGCCGACCTGCCACACTTCCCACCGCCTGCCAAACCCTACGTCTCCCCTGAGCTGGGCAGTGAGCAGTAGGCTCCCTTACTTCCACTTGTGGCAAGTCTGGCACCAGCACTCAGCCTGGACGTGTCCACAGGTGCCGAACCGTCAGGATCTCTTCCATCAGACGAGATCCCATGGCAAAGAGAAGAGCTCAGCACTGCTTGTGCTCAGACAAGAATGGCTGTGACTGGAGATTAATGCCCGTTCTGATGAATAGTAATTTCTGTGCCTCCAAGCAACAGCGTCTCATGCTAATCCAAATGACTCATTATGCGTGACTTCTCTTTGGAGATACTGACAGTGCAGGAGTCAGTTTACCTTGAGGAGAGCCAGGAAGGCCATCTGCCTCCACCTCTCTAAGACCACTGGGGTTTGAGCCCAATGCAAGAGGTCCTTTGGGACCTTCTCCTACTTGGAAAACCAAAACGCATACAAAAGAATCCTGAAATGGCATTTCCTCTTATGAGGCAGGAAACTAAGCCATTGGCTGACTCCTGCTTTCCTCTGAGCAAAAGGCAGATTAAGAGGTACCACAGAAGAGAGAAGATAAAATTCACACCCAATTCAAATGCTTATTTTAGCTCCTGGGTGAAAGTAGAGGCTGAAACAAGACTTACCAAGAACTGTCCAAGCGGCAGGAGTGATCCTCCCACGAGCAGAAGCTACAGGAGTAGCGACTAGGAAGTGCAGCAAACAGCAGGGAACCAGAAACCCAGAACTCACACCCCCCACCCCGAGGGGCGGCAGCAACACAGAGCCGGCCAGCGCGCAGGGCACGGCATGTGCACAGTCTGTAATGAGCACCAGGCAGGGTGGAAGGAAGAGAAACGGGAAAAAACGACCCTGGATTTCCATACCCACATGTGTGGCTTCAGGAGTTTTAAGGACCAGTAACAATTTTGAGTCTTTTTTGTAATCTTCAGTAAGGGAACTGATTCTAGAACCTTCTACTTGCAGAGTGGAGAAGCACATAATGCACAAGAATAGCTGAGAAAGAATGTGCCGCATCCTCGCAATGACAATGAACAAATCACTTCCAGGCCCGTATCTTGAATGTGGATCATAAAAAGGCAGTGTTCTTAATTCAATTCACAAAAGGATGCGAGTGGCCAGGAGTGAACACCTGAGGAACTTCAGGAATCAGGAGATGACAAACATGTTCCAAGAAGGTGGAAGGAGGGACAGTCCACATGGAAAACCTGGGCTGGATGATGACCAAGGCCCCTGTGTGAGCGGGAGGGATCGGATGCCAGTGACAGGAAGACAGGGTTGCTGGGGCCACGCCCTGCCCATGGCTCTGGGTCCTTTGGGGGAATCAGTGACTGTCCTGTCCTGGCTCTAGGTTTCCCGGGTCGGAACAGCCACCTGGCAGCTCTCGGCTGAGGCAGGAAGAGCAAATATCATAGAATGGTTGGAATACAAACTATACACGCTGCTGGGACACCCCCCACCCAGGACCTGGGTGGTCTTTCCTACCCACTCGGCAAACGGCAACGACCTGCAGTGAGCTGCCTTGGCCTCTCCAGTGGCAGCCTGTCCGAACAGACACTGGCAATGAAAGCAGGCGAGGGACGGCTTGCCACAGAGAGCTGTCGCACATCTCAAGCCTAGTGAATGAGGAGAGCACACATTCTGAAACGTCTACTTTCTACTTTTTCTCTGCTGCAACCATGGCATGAGGAGGGAAAGATAAACTCAGACACATGCCTGCTTCTGCTCAGGAGGGATCTCTCCAAGCAGAGCTGCTGAACACACCCCTGCCTATCACCGCGATGGCCACACCCCATCCTGCCTCAGTGCTCCTGGCTGTGCCTGCGCTTGCACTGCCCTCTTCCTCACCAATCATACCCATAAATCAGTGCAGATGAACCTGAGTGAGTGTGCATCAGTAAAGCCTAGAGGGGCGGCTAAGACTCAAAGTGGTGGGCCTCACCCCTGATCTCTGATTCAGTAGCCTGGGGTGGGCTGGAAAATGTGCTTTTTGGACAAGTTCTCACATGAGGCTGGTCTGGACACTGTATTTGGAGAACCACCCCCAAAAGATAACTTGTTTTCGCAGCTGGCAAGTGGGATCTCGATCAGAAGCCTGATATTAAAAACTAACTGTAAACACCCCTCTCTAGTGGCCAGCGGGATGAGGCTGCCCAGGTGGAGTGTCCCTCCTAAGATGATGTAGAAAAACAGTCCATGTTATTTTTTTTGGAGAAAGCAGACAACTTTATCTCCAATCTCACAGTTTGACATAAGATGACAAGAGAACAAGGAAGAACCACAGGCATACACATACAGATTCTTGGTAATTCCACATGTTTGAGGTTTCATGGCTGGGCCAGGATATAGGATAAAACAATCTGCAAATGATGATGGCAAAAGTCTTGATCCCACATTCTTTTCTAATTGTAATCAAAACTTGTTCAGAGACCTATGTCAGCACCATCACTTGGTCTCCAAGCACACAGGTCTTGCCCTCCCGGCAGAGCTGCGAGGTGTGGCTAATCTCCGCCACCTCCTGTGCAGAGAACCCAATCCCAGGAAGGCTCCTCTCCCTAGAGGGTTAAACAGACATGCTTCTCAAGACACTCCTGAACACAGAGCAGTGCACTACGGCTCTGTCATCAGTACCCACAGTCCAGCAGAGAAGCTTCAAGGATCTGAAAATGTCTCATCAGTTTTACTTTGAATCTTTTTTTAAAACCCATTTATGTGAGAAAAAATTTAACACTGTGAAAACAAAACAAAGAAATAAATGATCTATTGATACTCACAAGGCTGTGCCTGCCATCCTAAACCCTCTTGATTTCAAATTTTTATGTTCCTTAAAATTGCCTGATTATAAACACTAAACATTTGAATTTATACAAATAAAATACCACTTCTTTTTTTCTATATTGTGGTTTCATATAATTTTTTTTTTAAAAAAGGAGTTCTGCTGTTCAAAAAGTGAAAATCACTAGATTTGAACAAAGCCAGATAATAATCAATAACCAGCACCACCAATGGCTCAAAAAACTCTGAGCCTCTTGGGCTTCTCTGTCCAGGGCATCTTTCCCACCTCATCACACCACTGACCACATCCGTAAGTCCTTTAAACCTTCTATTCCCTGGCTATTACAGGGAAATGAAAAGAGACTTTCCTTCCAGAGAAAGGACGAAAGGAAACACTCCAGTTACTGACCCCTTTCCTCAAATCTAAAGCCAACACGATCGTCCTCTCTGATGGGCAAGGACTGCGGCACCATGACTGACGGCCTCCCAGGGTCTCCACTCCTGCTCTAAGGATGATATTTATAAAACACAGGCTAAGAAGAGAGAAGCAAGTATGTTCTACTCATTCCTAATTCCAATTCAGATTTCTTCCCCTCAAAGAGGCGGGTACGTAGCTCTTCTTTCTAACAAAGAGGAAGTCAGGTTATAAAGAGAAAAGAAAAAGCAAGTCAGAGATGACTGAACAAACCTAAGCACAATCTCATTTTGTGACATAATCACATAACTTTGTAAATGCCAAGGACAAATGGTATTAAGCAGTTTTCTGTATCTTTAACTGCCTGTCTTCCTGTAGAAGCCATCATTCCCAGAGAAACTAGCACTAAAAACCATGCAATCCACTGCAAAAAGCCGGCTCACAGCTTCTAAGGACGTGACATCACTTTGCATTTGGAGGGACTGTCCTCCAAGGAACTCACAGCACATGAACCAAAGCCAGGTCATCTGCAACGAGGAGGGACGGACACCAGAAAGCTCTTGTGGGGCTGAGAGTCCACGCAGAGAGGGATTCCTCCCTTTAAGGCTCTCCTATGACGGGTAACACCTAGAAGCCGTATTTTACTCGTGATCTTTACATTCATCAGGAGAACAACGGAGTCCAGCCATTCAAACTACTGATGCGTAACAACTGACATATTTATTTACCAAGCAATTTAAGCTGTTTAAGTCAGATGGAAGGAGAATTCATTACAGAAGCAACTGAGGGAATGAATTCAACTTGAGTATTTCAAATGAAAGGAATAATGTAAGTGAAACTCAAAGCCCAGAGACAGGAAACATTGGCTCACTAGAAGTTAGAGTGACAAGGACAGATGGAAGTTTTCATTCCATCTGGAACTGACAGCAGCAGTATGACTCAGTTTAATACCTACCCCTTTACAGTTTCATACAGGCTCAAAAAAAAAATAAATAAATAAATAAATAAATAAAAAGGACCTAGAGACCAGTGCCTAAGTGTCTTTCCAAATCCACAATGGTCATTCACAAAGCCATCTCTTTCAGCATGAAATTCAGCTCAGTTAAATGCAAATACTTTCCCCCCCACCTAAAATAAAGCATCATTGTTAAAATAGGTCAGAAAATGCTCTATTCCCTCTTCTTTCAAGAAAAAGCACCTCCAAGATAATTTTTCTGCTTAAACATGGTGTCAAATTTAATTAACGATGTAAATTAGGGAAAGAGCCACTTTTGGAAAAACTGGAGAAGGCTCCAGAAACCTCCCAAGCATGAAGCAGCTCTCCTTGGAGTCTGAGTTTACCTAGCAGGGCCAGAAGGCTCTGGACTATCGAGGTTAATGGCCTCTTCTCAATCTACTCAGCTATCGGCGTGATCTTCTGGGAAACTTGTCTCATTTTCTAGATACTCATGCCTAAAGGCCATAAATGGCCAGGCTCAGTTTATTTTAAATGATTTTCCTTTAGGCCCGTATGATTGCAATATACTGAATGCAATTCACAAGACAGAAATCAAATATTCATAAGGAAGGACATACAGATCTCAAGCAGGGGTTTAAGCAGACAGGTTAAAGCAGAATATGCTGGGCAGGTCTCCATCTAGGAACCTTTACGCCCTTTCAGTCAAGCAGACTGCTCATGAGAGGCGCTCTCTGACTCCAACTATAAAGATGCTTTGAGGGGAGGGTATAGCTCTGGGAGCATGCACGAGGTCCTGGGTTCAGCAGCCAGTATCTCCATTAAAAAAAAAAAAAGCTTTGACAAATACAAGAACTAAAACACGAGTCAACTGAATCCATTTGCCCTGCCCTCTACCCAGTCTTCTCCCCTTTACTATTTATTATGAATTCCTGCCCTCTCACGTCTTCTCAAGCACTAAAGGGACTCTCAGTGCCATCAGTCACTGCATCCTGATGAACCCAAAGCCTTAGGCTGTTTACTCAATCAAGAAACTCAACTGTTCTGTTTTTTTGTTTTTTTAAAATGAAATTCATGATCTGAAATTGAGGTTGGTGTCACCCTAGGTTGGGAGCTGAATTATATTTCCATTCTTCGAGGCAGGAAAACTTCTCAAGAAAAACAAAATTGAAGTTTAACTTTCGAAAAGCTGATGTCCACTCTAAACCACATCGCTCCTTCTGGAGTCAAAAATGGCTAAAAGCTCACTAGTCCCGTGGTATTGGTGGCTACACTAAAAGAAGGGCCCTGAAAGTGTTTTTAAGTGTTGTGTTCTCCTCTAGAGAATGAAAACACTGGTGCCCCCACCCCTGGCTTCCTGCCTATTTCTGTTTACGGTCAGGAGAAAGTAAGGGAAGCAGACTTACCCAGCATCTCTTCCTTCAGTCTTTCGTTACGTTCTTCAATTTGCTTAGGTAATCTCTGAGGGGAAAAGCACAGACACATGGACTGTGAAAACCCTTTGATTTTATTTTGAACTTGAGAAACACTAAAAACCTAGAAAATGAGATCGGGTTAGGTACATATATATGATCCTATTACATAAAGAAAAAGCCAGCATTTGTCTGTGGACGAGCTACAGGAAGACGGGGGTTTTGTCTGGTTCAATGCCACATGCCCAGTCCTCGGCACAGTGGCTCATGGAGGACCTCAATAAAAAAAACTGGTGAAAACACACACACACACACAATCTGAAAGGATACACACCACATGTTTATAGCGGTGTATTTAGGTGGTGGGATTATGAGTGATGTTTACGGTTTTTGCCCATCTGTATTTTTTAACTTCAAGTCCTTTCTTTATATAAGCTCATTTGTTGAGAAAGCATCAGATTGATATTGGATGTTCCTAAATGATCATCTAGTTCAGGGTTTTTCAACCTTGGCAGTATTTCAACAGGGGGGCTGTGCTGTGTATTGCAGGATGTTCAGAGTATCCCTGGCCTCTCCTAACTAGATGCCAGCAGTTACCCTCCCCGTCGTGACAAAGTGTCCCTAAACATTGCCAAATGTCCCTGGGAACCAGACCACCTCCAGCTGAGCACCACCCATCTAGAACAGTCTTCTGTGGCCACTTTTTGCTCTGTAAGTGGCCCCAGGTAGTCTGGGGTTCCAGTAATAACTCAGTTACAATAATTCAAAATAAAATAAACTCATTATGCATATACCAACTAGCTTTAATAACAAGCTCCCTTTCACAGAAAGCTTAAAACTAATTTGACGAGGATAAAGGCTACCGAGAATTTAGGCAAGATTTTAAGAACTCCGCTCCCTTTCCCCATGTCAAATTTACGCTAATCCTAACACCATTCGGAGATATGTTAAAAGTCAGATAAAGGATTAAAACTGCTTTCAAACTGCGTATGAATTTTAATTACCCAAACGAGCCTTTCTCCCATTATTCCATTTCTAGGTAAATAAATTATCTGTTATTACTGAAGGAATTCACCGAAAAATAAAACCCAAACCACCTAGGATTTTAGTGCAGGGAGATGCATCAACATTTCTCAGGTCTGCCTGGTGGAGTCATAGTTCCAAGGAAGAAATGAGAAATCCTGTACAGCAGGGGCTGAGATGCCCTCAGGGGCCAGACAGGAAATGTAAATAAGTAATGGAATGGCTGTAAGGCAATAGTGGATGGTGCGGTTCAGCGGCGGAATTGGAGAGCTCCAGCCGAAGGCCAGCGCGCGGGAATTCAAGAAGGGGCCAGCATGTCCACATCTAATTTTTAAGAGGAGTCCGGCTTAGATTTTTATCTAGTAAAATCTTTCCATTTTTAAATGTTGGCAAGTGGCCTCAATTAAAAAAAGAGCCAAAAAGTTTGGTTTCAATAAAATAGGCCTGTAGCTTCCCCACTCCTGCCTGCTGGCCTGTCTCTCCACTGCGTAATGGCTTCCAGGACAGAACTCTCCATCCTAATGACCCTCTGGGAAAGTCTGGCAGCACAGAAACCTGTTTAGTGAAAGCCAGTGTTTCTCAAACTTAGTTGAACATCTATTATATTGGGGCATATAAACACCTAATTCTGTAGCACATCTTTAGAACAGACGCTGCTCTGCACATTAGAGATAATCAGAGAGTAGTGCTAAAGGTAGAAGCACAAATCTGAGTTATTTTGTAAGGAAGGAAAACCAGTAACATGTAGCTAATTTACAATCGACATACGACTATTATGACGTTTAGAAGCAAAATGAGTTTTAGTTACAAGGATAAGAACAAGAGTCGTTTTAAGAAAGATAAGGTTAGTCTAGGATACATTCAACTGGAAGTGCACTGGGCATGTGACAATGACTAGAAACCTGGTGACTAAGTAAGGCAAAGGATGGACAGAAAACCAGAGGTTTAACACCTGTAATACGAAGACTCACTCTCAACTAACCTACACAACTACCAGCAGGCAAGATTTCCCTAGTTCAGCCGTGAAATAAAGTTCTTGTCAACCCTGGAGGTCAAAGGTTTAGGATGAGGATTAAATGGTACATGGTCAGAGTAGGTCTGTGGCCACCACTTCGAAGTTCTAGCTCCCATATTATTTTGATAAGCTTTTCAAAAGCACAGAAATGGAATGTAGTTGTGTCTCAAAGGATTATTTAAGATTCACTGAGTAGCAACACGGGGAATAGAAGAGAAAATATTTTTTAAAAAATGAGGTTTACCATGCAAGCTTCCCTTGCTTGATGTACTGATGGATCTTTTTCTAATATGGATTTATAGTCTTCCAGGGCTTCATCTAGCTTGTCAGTTTTCTCATACAACTCCGCTCTCCTCAGTATTGCCCTGATGTAGCTGGGGTTTAACTGAATTGCTGTAAAAAGAGAAGAAATAATTGTTAGTTACCATGAGGAAAAAGGTCCTATACACCCTCAGCCACACCAAGTTTCCTTATTAACCATTTTCCATTGGTCTATAAGGAAGAGTCATTTGTCAGAGGTTATAGCTGGGGTTGCCAAACTTCTCCTGTAGAGGGCAGATACTCAAGACTTTAGGCTCTGTGAGACAGACTGTCTCCGTTACACTGCTGAGCTCTGCTACTATAGCACAAAGCAAGAACAGACGCTGCACAAACGAGGGTGGCTGCATCACAATAAACCTGTGTTTATGGACACCGAAATCTGAATGTCATGTAATTTTCCTGTGTCCTGAAAAACCATTTCTCTTTTGATTTTATTTCCAACCATTTAAAAATGTAAAAACCATTCTTAGCTTGCGGGCTGTATAAAAGCAGTTGGCATACAAGCTGCATTTGGCTTGTGGCTGTAGTTTACCAAACCCTGGTCTATAGCCCAACGCCTGGTTTCCACATACTTTTCCTTTACCCACTTTAGAACAGGCCAGAACACAGAGCTCGAGTGCACAGCGAAAGAGCAAGAGGGAATTTGAAGGGACAAGTTATAAAGAGTTGAGTGAGAACAGTTTGGCGGTCAACTCCGCCAGCATTCTCCTTTTTCTGGGCCTCAACTACTGAGGTCACGCCGTGACTACTGAGGTTACATTTTTGGCTAAATTGTCACTGTTCCTTGAAACTCCTGCTCCAACACCTTTATGTCACTGGAGCATAATATCCTTCCCTTCATCTAACAAGTGGCCCCTCTAATAATCCTGTGTCTGTGCTTTGGTTCAAGTATACGGCACTTTTCTATTCCTTTTTGAGTTGTTTCTTTTTCTGTTAGGAAGCAATAGAACTTTTTTTTTCCTTTCTAAATGATATACTCATTTAGAAAATGCATTCATACTTTCAGTAACTATTTATTTAGTACCTAACGTGGTGTTATCTTTGGAGTATAGTGGTAAACAGAACACACAAGGTCCATGTTCTCATGAAGCTTTAAGCTACTGTAGGAGGCAGGAGCAAGCAGCACGCAGTAATTTCAGATGCTTATAGTGCTATGGAGAAAAACGAAACAAGGTCATGTAAATTCAAGGGAAGAGGGGAATAAGGTAACTTTAGAGAGTGGTCAAAGAATATGAAAAGGGAATATCTGAGGGAGGCCAGCCATCTGAAAAGCAAAGGAGGAGTGCACTGGAAGAGGGCCAACAAGAGGAAAGGCTCTAAAGCAACAACCACCTCGCCATGTTGGTGGCCAGGCAGGGGCTGGGGAAGAGATGAGGGCGAAGACAGACGCAGCAACCAGGCCATGGAGGCCTTGCTGGCCAGGGAAAGGAACTTGGACTTATTCTTAAGTGTGATAAGAAGCCACTGGATCAGTTTCAAGCAGATTAAAGACATAATCTGACTTACACTTTAAGGGTCACTTTGGCTGTAGTGTGGAGGGGACAAGTGATAGCAGTGAGACAGCTGGGAGGTCAGTGCAGTGGTCCAGGTGAGAGATGATGCTGGCTAAGCTGGTGAGAGTGGGGATGGAAAGAAGAGGCCGGATTAAAGAACCATCTTTGAATCACAGCCCACAGGACTTGCTAATTAAGCCATGTGGAGTGAACAAAGAACAATCAGGGATGACTCCAAAGGCTTTAGTTTCAGCAAGTAAATGGATTATAATGACATTCATTAAACTGAAAATAACTGCAAGTTGTGTGTGCCTGCATGCATGGGGGTCGGAGAGGAACCAGAGTCTGTTCTGAGCAAGTTAAATTCGGAACGCCTACCAGACATCCCAGAGGAGATGTCAAGTTTGCAGCAGAAACAAGCTCCAGGCAACAGGGCACAGGTGAAGATGTAAACTGCAGCACACAGATGGTCAAAGTTTCAGAGCTGGTGAGATCACACAGGGAAAAAATATAGAGAAGAAAGAAGAGGGCCCTATAGATGAAGATCTAGGAACTTCTAAAATGACGAGGCTGACAGAAGCCAGCAAAAGAGAGTAAGAAGAAAGAGCTAATGAAACAGAAAAAAAATGACGAATGACACACTACATTACACACTTTCGGGCGGTCAAGAAAGCTAAGGATAGAGAAGCAACTACGGAGCAAGAGGAAGCTGCTGCTCACTTTTATAAGATGGGTTTCATGGGTGTGGATGAAAAAGAAGCCCAAAGGACATGTGAGCAGAGAACGGGAGAAGACGTAACCAGAGAAATGGCACAGCAGGTGGACGGGATACTGTTCAGGAGAAGAGTTTCTGAAAGAACCCAACCTCAACATTTCACCTTTACCCGTTTTCAACCTCCCCTTGGTCCAGCATATCATATTCTCTTAAAATATTCCCAATTACAACATCATAATATCTGTAAGAAAAACACTCCAGTGACCTCTACTATCCCTGTTAAAAACCTGAAAGCCCTAATTTACATTTTAACTCAGATACCACCCCCTTCTCAACTGGTGGACAGCTTCTAACAATGCAAGTATGTATGGAAGAGAAAGAACCTCTCCCATGATTCCTGTATAAAAATCTCTAAAGTCAACTTACCACTCTAACTTGTGATTTTCTTTCTTAATCCATATAAATAGAATGAACTTAAGCTTTATTTACGCCAAGGCTGAAAGCCCCAGGGTGAGTGGCATGAAATATTGTTCCATGTGACTAGCAGCAATGAGCTCCAAATACGACCTCAAAAATCAGCCAAGCCCTTTGCCAAGGTTTATGCACTGAGTGGGCGTGTGTATGTGTTTAGAGGGGAGGAGAAAGGTCCTAAATACAAATAAACCATGCTAGTGTCGATGTATTTTGCCTCTGGTTCAATACACGCAGCCCATAACAGCTAAGGATAAGCACACGAATGCTGGCTTAACCAAGTCCAAAAACAAATCTGGAAGACACTGTGGTTGGAAACATTGTCCTCCCCCTCCTCTCACTTTCTTGGTAAGCCTCCTACACTGAGGGCAACAGCTAGAAATAAACTGTTTCCTAGTGTACACCCTGCTCATCAGGCTCACAAGGCATCTTCTCAACATTTGGTTACAGAGAAAAAAACTCAGAAAATCAGCAGCTTGCTCCTAATTTAAACTCTTCAAACCCACACACGTCACACAGATTAAGGTTAAACATTTTCTTCCAAACAAAACAGTACATTCAGAATTAGATCCAGCCCAAGATAGTAATGGGTCAGAAGCAGTCTGCTAGATTCTAATGCACCAACAGCTTCATTCAGGTACTCTGAAGAAACACCCAGCATAAAGAAGAGAAATCCAGGAGACAGGGTAACTAATTAATGTTAAAAAACCCAAAAACAAAATAGAAGAGGGAATTTACACTTGGTCTGAGAGTGGGATTAGGTAACATATAAGGTTCTTTCTAACTCTAGAGTGCTCTCAGAGAAAATCTCATCCAAAGGAGGAAAAAAGAAAAAACATAAATTACAAAAGTAGCAATTAGCTAGAAAAACTCATAGACTAGCAAGACGCAAGGGAAAGTGATCATGTGTGTTCTCCACACCACGCAGGTCATAAAGGTAAGACAACTGACTGGCCTATCAGGAAATTTTTGAAAAAAAAAAACAACAGTGATCCGACGTCTGGGGGTGCCTCTATTAGTTGCTGGGATGAAAGACCATGATGGAACTCAGGTATCAGACAGCAAAGGCTCGATTCACTGTGTGGAGCTTGAAAGGATAATTAAAATGATGGCAAGGTCTGGACGAATGACTGCCTCTAACTAGAGTAGCAATTCCCCAAAAGAAATTGCGTTCCCTGCTGCCACTCTGAACATACAGATCCAGATGCCCCAGTGGCAGCTAGGATCTTCAGTTTCAATCTCAAAGGAGAGTAATATGGACACTACAGGAAGCTAATTCTGTTCCAAGAGTTTCTGTGGCCACGGAAGTTTTGAATTATTTTCCGTATATTTACTAGTACAGCATAAACCGCCTGAATTATCCATTTAAAAGCATGGTTACACAAAGATGACTACTGTGCAGTACCTCTAGAAAGGCTGAAAGTTTCTTCTTTATCGGCCCCAGAAGAAGGGTCCATGTGTACAAGTGCACACCTGATTGGCTTGTCTAGAGGTCATGCTCTTGTATGTTAACATGTAACAAGACCAAAAAGTTGTACCTTTGCTGCAGTCACTGATGGCCATCTCTTTCTTGTCCTACAAGGAAACAGACCATTAATATGTGTCACCCTAGATCTGTCTCAACAGCCCAAAGGCTCAATGACATAAGTTGATCATTAACAACTGCTTATGGAGATGCAGAGTGCCTTTCAAAGAAATCACGCCAAAACATGCATGGTACTTCCAAGCTAAAATTCAAACTATGGTGACACCTCTGACTTGAAAGTCTCCTGGCAACAAATTATTCAAGTAGCTTCTTCCTCACGTATCTTTAAAGACTGTTGTAACTGACCTATTATATTTGCAAGATACTTTACCTTAGAATGTTGACACTGAGAAAACTTTGTAGTCAATACACAGGGCAGATGACTGATAAGTGAATAACTGAATTAATAACCCTCCTCTTTGGCTAGCTGTTATATAGCACATCCAAAGCGGTATCTTCCAGAAAGCATAAAGATGGTCCATCTACAAACACAGTATGACTTGTCATGTGGTCTCAGTTGTGAACCTTAAATTATCCAATAAGGAAACAAAACTACAAAACAATTCGCCAAGTAAGATATCTAACCAATTCAGCTTGCTGAATGGAGAAGCGCAGCACAGTGGAAAGAACACTGGCTACCAAAAGAGCTAGAGTCTAGATCTGGTCCTGACACTGATCTGCTGCTTAACTTTTCTAAACTCTAAAATGTCTATTTCCCCCAAATTAGAAATGTTCTACAATGTTACAGAAATGTTAGTTCAAATAAATGCTCAATATTTCCGTAACAGCTACTGTAACAAGTATCAAGAATTTTGCGGAGCATTTTAGAACGTTGACCAACGTTTAAGGAGTTTAAGGAGTCAATCAAAAACAGTTCCAAGGATGGGGAGTGACTGCTTCGTGGGTCTTCTTTGGGGTCATAAAAAAATTTGGAACCAGACAGTGGTGATGGTTGCATCATACCGTGAACGTATTTAACTGGCACTGAACTGTATACTTTTAAAATGGTCAATTTTATGTCATGTGTATTTTACCCACAATAAGCAAAAAAGGTTCGAGTCATCTGGGAAACTCTAACTATATTATCTCTCCCATGCTTATCAAGCAATTCACATATTAAAAGCTCTAAGTCCTGTGGTAAAGAAATCTGTAAGTCCATATTTTCCAAACTTATCAGAGTCCTATAAATCTAAGACACACAATTTCATATTTTAAAGTTTCTGAAATAGGAGTAAATCTTTACAGTTTATGAATATAAATGTTGGGGGTGGTATCCGTTGTGCCCCTAAGAAACAATTTTTAGAGCTTATTTTTTTTTAGGGCTTTGGCTGCTCTCTTGTGTAGCCTGGCCTCCAGCTGAAATGAAACTCTGCCCTATCTCCAGTTTGCCTCTGCCCTCTCACACATGAAACAGAAAGCCTGGCCAGGCGCACCCAGTCAGGGGTGCTGAGGCCGCACACCTGCCTTTCAGAAACTCTTAAGCAGTTAACTCATCACCTTCTCAAACTCAGAATATGCTCCTTAAATCACTTCAGTGCATTAATCCTGAGGTTTCCAAGTCTGTAATTTTAGAATCTTCTTAAAATATTATGAATGCAAGTTAAAAGAACAAACGAAAAACTCCACTAACAAACCTATCCTATGTACAGGAAACAGTCACAGAAGTCTTTTGAGTTCTCTTCAGATGTGACAGGCAGAAGACTAGCAAGGCCATACATTTTCCTAACTCAAGAACCAATCGATTACGTTAGCCCATCCCTAGCAACAGCATTAACTCGGCAATCGTGGGAACAAAGAACCCCAAAATCCCAGGAGCCAGATGAGCATGGTACATTTTCTCTGATATTGAAGGTATCCCTGATTCCACTTCACAATGACAACTTCTAGCCTAAGAACGTGGCAGGATGTCTCAGAGGCAAAGGCAAAAGATCAGAATTTTCCAGCTAAATGTAAAAGGTGTTGGCTGTGAATTCTATCGATGGCAGTATATATTAATGAATACTGTTTTAAATAAACTTAAAGCAGTTGCTTTAGAACCTCTAATACAAAATGTCTGCTTGTATACTATAGAATTATTCCTTCTCCCATGATGCCACATCAATCATTCTAAAAACATTTTCACCTTGGAGAGTGAATCCAATAATAAAACATAAATTTGGATTAAAAAAAAAAAGACTTTCTGCATGTCTAAACATCCAAGCACCTCCCCCCACACCCTTAAAAAAAAGCTGGTCATACTAGGTGACTCTGGTAGAGGCACTAGTGAAATTCAGGCAACGTCAAAAAGAAAGTGACATAGATACCCGATCTAAACAGACAGACAGAAAACCACTTCACTTAATACTGGGCTGGCTTCGTGGTTGCTTAAAGGTGTGTTGAAAAAAACCCTACACTTTGTGTTTTGAATATTGGTAGCCACAGTTAAACAAGTAATTTCTTTTTCAAATTCTCATCATTTCTGTCCAGCGAGATTTACCACATTAACAGGAATATCAGACGAACCACAACAAATCTAACTTTTAAGATCAACACTACAGCCAACAAATATAACTGCACTCTTATCTACTCTACGTTCACCCTGCTACACCAGGTCCTCAAGTCCTTTGGAATCACAAAATACTTCTGAACTTTCCCTGACACCCATTTTGCATTTAAGGGCACCTCTCAGCCCAACCCTTGGATGTTTCCCTGTGTCCACACTTTTCTGAGAAAAACAGAATCTCAAGAATAAGCACCTTGAAGTCCAGACTTTTAATCAGTGTTTCCTGACCCTTTGAGTCTTTATCTGGAATCCCAGAGGCCTAGAATAAGCAGCTGTCAGCTGTTCCAGGCCATGCGCTACTTGGCTCTTTGCTTCACTAACCTGCCCTAGTTTGGTGGAAACTTTGCCAGCTTCCTTCCATGAAAGTGTTCACTCAGCCACTTTAATGAGGAATGTGAACAGTAATCCGACTCAAGTTTTTCAAAATATTTTTCTATCCCGCCTGTGCCCTTTACATCAGGGTAATGTGTGGGCAGGGCAAGGAGGCAGCAGCTTTGAAGTCTCTGTGCTTGTTTCTGGAGAGAAGCTAGCCTACGAAAACACTGCAAGTTCACATGCTGCTTAAAAAGGAAAGGTCAAAGGTACATACCTGTTTCATCCTTGCAGCAGCTCTGTTTGAAAACAGAATAGACCTGTCTTTCTGGAAGCAGGATGGACACATCTGAAGCGCTCGACTGTAAGAACTTTCGGCTTCCATATAATCTGAGGATAAGGCAAAATATGAGAGATCGTTATGACTTCACTCCTGGTATCTCTGTATTCCAAAGGGTCTCACAAGGCGTAGCTCTCCATTCACGGGACAAAGGTCTCCAATAAAATGCTCTAACGCTTACCTTTCAAGTGGTTTATCAATTTAGTAAGTTTTGAAAGGGAACTAGGGAACTGGACAGATGAAAGAGAATAAAATCTGGGTTTAACGCCCTGAGAGGAAGAAAAAATCCTGCGTATATATTTTCATTAAAGACAGCGTGCTTTCATGGAGTCAACCTGGCTAAAACTGTTTCCAGGAAATGTCTGGAGGGACATTTTATGGAGCTAAAAGCAACAATGTAAAAATCAGTAGCTGACTAAACACCTTAAAAGAGAAAATGGTGATAAATTTATATATTCATTGCCATACACAGAATTATGGCCAGGGTACTAAAAGAAAATTGCCTACTCACTTCTCAGGTTTGAAATATTTAATACTGAAATACAAAGAAACATGCTTTTAAAATTGTAACCATTTAGTTCACTTAAAAAAAAAGAAGTGACGGTTGTTAAACCAGGATACAAGGGAAAAAATTTTTTTTAAGTTAAAAATAAGTAGGGGAAAATGTTACTACTCCCAGATTTCTAAGCATACACAGTCTTGAAACATGACAGAAAGCTACCATAAGATCAACTACTTCCCTCAAACGAACCCAACTTCCTTCTAAGCAAATACAGGAAATGCAGAAGGACATGGAGGCCATCTCTCTACTGAAGGCAGCCACAGAAAGAGGCACATGAAAAAGCAGCCAGAGCCTAAGTGAACCCCTTCCCCAGGCCGTGGGGGACCCACCAGCCAGTCTTTACAGCACTGCCGCAAGTTAGGAAGGGGGGCCCTGCTTTGACAGCAGTGCAGCCAACAGCCTTTTAACATTCCAAGTGAGAGCTTTCCAAAGCAACAGCTCAAGAGTTTTTCCTCCTAATTTCTGGGTTTACAGGTAATAGATTATAGAAAAGAAAAACTGCGCCTGTGCCTAGTGATACGTGGTAACCGTCACTGTCCACTGAGAAAATGTGGACCTGGTAAAAAACAAAATTCCAAGGCGCTGGGAGGCAACACGGCATTGTCAGCAGTTAGGTTTGCTAGCTGTTTCCAAACGTCCTTTGGTGTTTCTTCAAGACGCCCAGCATCAGTGCTCAAGTAGGTGTCTTACCTCCTTTCTTAAACTGCTCATTTCCCTCCTCCTTTAGTCTAGTGCTCTCTTCTCTCCTTTTCTGAAAGAGATCAGAGAACGACATAATTCTTAGAATATTACTGTCAGTGAACAAAAGGTCAGCTTTCACTACACGTTAGCCCGTTGCATAGGCAGCAGCTTGATTTTCGAGAACTGGGTCAGTTTCATTAAATCTCAAACAGATATAGAGAAAAACACACAACCATCTGGCTCATCATCAATTGCATTCTGAAGTTTAAGAGACAAAACCTAGGTTTTCTATGTTTCTAGCTTTTGCACAGAATGGTAATTTCTGTTTACTCTAAATGAAACTGAACAACATACCCACTGGTATGCTTACCCTTACAAATTCAAATTCTAGATCTGCTACTTATTAATCGTATGATCTTGGACAAGTTCCAGATCTTTCTGAGTCTTAGTTTCTTCATCTAAAAACTGAGGCTTTAATAGATTTATGAATTAATGTGACAATGTATATAAAGCTCCCAATATACTGACGGGCACATAAGGGCTCAATAAATAATAGGCTATTACTTCTGTAAAATAAGCAACTTAATACTTATTTAGCTACAGCTATAGTTTGTGTCATGAAGGAGACATACAGTGCGCCGGCAGAGTGCACTATGGGGAAACAAGTCTTATTCGCAGGGTCAGAGCATATGCTGTTAGCAGGCTAACGCAGGGAAATTTGAAGAAATTCAGATAAATCTCTTTTCTTAGCTGCTTCTAACAAGTCAGACTAACAAGTCAGAAATTCACACAGATGGCTAAGCACTCACTGAACTCAAAGAGAGAGTGAATGCCATTCTGTAGACCAAAGACGACACGTGCGGATCCCTCTGTGCTTTCAGCCCCGAACATCTTAGCAACGTGGTCAGCACCAGCAGAACTGGCTCAAGTGTCTGCCGCCACTTTTGACAGCGTTAAAACAAACAAACAAAGAAAACTCCAAAATCTCTTCCTTCATTCTTTAAGTTTCTGACTAAATAAGAACTTCAAAGGGAGGAAATACACTTAACAGGCTTTCTCATCCGCAGTACAAGCTGGGAGCCTAAACAATTGGTACTTCTAAGATTAGGAACCAAACTAAAAATATTATGTCTCTGGACAAAGTTTGTAAGTGAGCTGTTGAGACCACCTTATTATACCTTATTATTATCCTCTGGGATGAAACAGAGCACTTGATGAATCTCAACAAAGAAACTAAAAGGAAGGTATAAACTGAATCTAATTTTTATGGTATCTATTATGTGCCAGATGTTCAACAGATAAAATAATTCATTTTAAGATACAACGTATCTAAAGAAGGGCTACTCTTTTTTTTTTTACTGAGGTATAGTCAGTTTTCAATGTTGTGTCACTTTCTGGAGTACAGCACATTGCTACAGTCACACGTGAATATACATATATTCATTTTCATATTCTTTTTCACCATGAGCTACTACAAGATATCAAATATAGTTCCCTGTGCTGTACAGCATAAACTTGCTTATCTATTTTATATATACCAGTCAGTATCTGCAAATCTCAAACTCCCAATTTATCCCTTCCCACCCTCTTCCCCGCCAATAACCATAAGTTTGTTTTCTATGTCTGTGAGTCTGTTTCTGTTTTATATATAAGTTCATTTGTTTTTGTTTTTTTTTTAAGATTCCAGATATGAGTGATATCATACGGTATTTTTCTTTTGGCTTAAGGAGAGGCTACTCTAAGGGAATACAGAAAAAATAAAATGGGTGGTGGTGATGGCAATCAAAATATTAAAATCAGGCCACATTTCCCTAGTACTACCCAAGAGGGAGGTGCTTGGGTTGTAATGGTCCTCTGTTGTATTGGTTAGGATTTCTGGATGCAAGCAAAAAGACTATCTCAGGCAAAAAAAATTTCTGAAGGGCGTATTTACTGGAATGCTACTGTGGGGCTCACACAATCAATGGAGACCTAAATGATAGGTTTAGAGAACAGGCAGGACTCGAGGCAGCTCTGTTAAGTCAAGAAGCAAGAAAACACTAAGTGCCTTCCAGTGGAAGAGACTGGTCAAGACAGGGCTGTAATAGCAGCCAATAAATTCTAACCACTCCCTTTTCTTTGCCCTATCCAGATTTAAAGTTTTGGTCAGAAGCATCCAATGAGCCAAGTGTAGGTGACATGGCTCAGCAGTCAGAGACTGGAGTGAGGGACATGGGGGGCTGCCACCCAGCAAGATTATAGCACAAGGGAATTCCTCCACACAGGAAGGGGGATTGGATGCTGGAAGCCAAGAAAACTCCAGAACAAATCCTGTTAAAAATTATTTCAACTCCAAACAGACAAAGCAAACTTGACAAGGGAGAACAAAGCTGGAGGCATCATGCTCCTTGATTTCAAACTACACTACAAAGCTACAGTAATTAAAAACCAGTATGGTATTGGCATAAAAACACATTGATCAATGGAACAGAACAGGGAGCCCAGAAATAAACCCACATATATATGGTCAATTAATTTATGACAAAGGAGCCAAGAATATACAATGAGGAAAGAACAGTCTCTTCAATAAATGGTCCTGGGAAAACTGGACAGCCACATGTAAAAGAATGAAAATGGACCGCTATGTTATAACATACACAAAAACAAACTCAAAGTGGATCAAAGACTTGAACATAGTAAGACTTGAAACCACAGAACTCCTAGAAGAAAACAAAGGCAGTAATGCTCCTTGATACAGGTCTTGGTGATGATTTTCTGACTCTGACACCAAAAGCAAAAATAAACAAGTAGGACTCCACCAAACTGAAAAGCTTCAGCACAGCAAAGGAAACCATCAACAAAATGAATGGACGAAAATATTTGCAAAGCATCTATCTGATAAAGGGTTAATAGCCAAACTACATAAAGAGCTCATACAACTTAATAGCAAGAAACCCTCAACCTTATATAAAATGGGCAGAAGATCTAATAGACATTTTCCCAAAGAAGACATGAAGACATACGTGGCCAACAGGTACATGAAAAGATGTTCAACATCATTAATCATCAAGGAAATGCAAATCACAACTACAATGAGATATCATGTCACACTTGTCAGAATAGCAATAATTGATAAGACAAGAAATAACTGTTGGCAAGAATGTGGAGAAAAGAAAACCCTTGTGAAATGTTGGTGGGAATGTAAATTGGTGCAGCCACTATGGAAAACAGTATGGAAGTTCCTCAAAAAATTAAAAATAGAACCATCATATGATCCAGCAATTCCACTCCTGGGTATTTATCTGAAGAAAATGAAAACACTAACTCAAAAAGATATCTGCCCCTCCATGTTCACTGCAGCATTATTGACAACAGGCAAGATACAGAAACAACCTAAGTGTCCATCAATGGATGAATGGATAAAGAAACTGTGGTATATGTAGACAACGGAATATGATTCAACAATAACAAAGAATGAAATCTTACCATTTGCGACAACATGGATGGATCTCAAGGGCATTGTGCTAAGTGAAGTAAGCAAGAGAAAGACAAACACCATATGCTCTCTTTTATACGTGGAGTCTAAACAAAACAACAAATCCAAACAAAAACCCAAGTTCATAGGTCAGGGCTTGGGTAGGGGCAGGAGAAATGGATAAAGAGGTATTAAAAAAATTTGTTTTAATTAAAAAAGTTATAAAATGATTTCAATTAGGGTAAAACCAAAACCCTGTATTAGTGAATCCATTCGATCAATTTTAAATTCACACAAAAACAGCCCCCTGCATACGTCACTGGCTAATAAAGTTGTCAATGAAAAGTTGGTTTCACATTAGAAAATATATTAATGCAAGGTAGCATGTTGATAAGTTAAAAGAGAAAATTATATGATCACATGAATAAATGCATCACAGGTCTGAAAGGTCTGTAATATATTTTTTAAAAACAGTTACATCAAAAATAAAAATTCTTTAGAGAAGAGCAACTCATCAAGTTATTAGTTTAATGTCCACCCATTAACAATTTTCAATCTCTCTGCTTTAACTCTAGTTTCAAGCTACTTTCTGATCTATAATCTGTTCTCCAGTGCCAACTTATCAGGAATGTTGTATGAACATGAATTAGTCACTTAGACTGTCAGACCAGGCTCTTGTGAAGTGTGAGTGTGAGTGAGTGTTGAGTGAGTGTGTGTGTGTGTGTGTGTGTTAAGAGTTTAATCATCATTTGGTAAATTTAGAACATTAAGATCCCAATGGGAAAAGCCTAGATCCAAGGTACACCCAGAAGGAATTACTGATAAGAGCCAGCCTGAGCAGGCAGCCCGAGAAAAGCTCACGGTGCCCTTGTAAGTTGGCCTAAAAGCTGAATGAGCAGAGAGATGGGCTCCAGAACGGATTTCAAAGGCCAATTTTTCTCAGGAAGGCATTTTATTTTTTCAACTGATAAATCACAACTCAGTGACCCAGTGAGCAGTAAACAATGGAAAAGAGTTGCTGCTTCCACAGACTGTATAAATTGAGGATTAATGCAATTATCAATATCATGCTGAACATCTCCTAGGAAACAGCTAAAAATAGCACTCTGAAGAGAAAGCTGCACTCTCTCAGCTGTGCCAAGAGACTAACTTGATCCCAGTACAAAGACTAGGATTTATTCTGCTGCTGGAACATCCCTTTTTTCCAAAGGATGGCACACATCCTGTGTAACGTTACTGGAATCCAAGGACAGATTTTACAGTGCGTTAGGTCTGACTTAGCACGCTGAGTGCCAGGAGCATTCACACATAAATGAACTGGCAGTGCTGGGATTCTGCTGCATTCTCAGGTGCAAATCTTTCAGGTTCTGGTCTAACTCGGTTAGGAGTCCTCTCGCACGCCTCCACAATGCCTTTTTAACACATTCTAGAGAGGCCTCACTGGGAAACGTCTGCTCCAGAATTATATTTTCATAAGAATGGGAGCCAAAGAAATGTTACAGGCCTCTTTACTCAGTATTTCTCCCAGTCACTGAAAACTCGGGGGTGGGGAATAGCGACATTACTCTGCACTGTAAATCGTCACAGGAATTGTCAAGGAAAACCCTAAGCAGACA